TACTTGGCAGCACATAACAACAGCATGCGTATTAAGGAGTGTAGGTGTGACACTGTAGGATAAGCACTGTACTCAAAGGTCTGTTTGAACCATTAGGTCACTAACCACTGCTTGGAAACTGTACAGGGTCAGAACCCATACATAAAAAAAAAATTGGGGGCCAAAGACATTGTCAGCAAAGAAGACATTCAGGAGGCCAGCTTGATGATCACTAGCCATTATAGAGATACAAATCAAAACAAAAAGAGCTATCATCTTACCCCAGCATTAAAAGCATAAAAGAAAAAATGCTAAATTAAAAGGATGTGGAGAGACTGAAACCGTTATACACTAGTAGTGAGATTGTAAGGCGATACAACTGTAGAAATTGGGAATAGAAAAGTTGGGAAAAGAAATGCCGTATGATCTAGCAATTTCACTATTAGCTATATAGGGTACCCATGTTCACTGAAGCATTATTCACAATACTAAAAAGATGGTAAAAACTGGACACCATCAATGGAGGAATAGAAAAACTTTGGTGCATACACCAAAATTAAATACTACGCAACATTAAAATATAGCTATGAATCTCATAACCTGGATGAATCTGTAATACATTGTTGTCGCTAAGTGCCATCAAGTCAGTTGCGACTCATAGCTACCCTGTTTCCTAGGCTTTTAAAACTTTGCAGGAGTAGAAAGCCTCATGTTTCTCCCACCAAGTGGCTAATGGCCTCAAACTGCAGACCTTGTGGTTCACAATTCAGTGCTTACCATATGGAGCCACCACACTCTCCTAGAGAACATTACACTGAGTGAAATTAGTAACAAAAGGACAAATATTGGGGGAGATTACTACCAAAAAATGCAAGAAAAGTTTTTCACACAAAAGAAACATTCTTTCAAGATTACCTGTAGTGGGAGGGTTGTTGTTGTTACATGCCATTGAGTAGGTACCGACTCATAGCGACCCTATACACAACAGAATGAAACACTGCCCAGTCCTGGGCCAAGCTCACAACTGTTGCCAGGCTTGAGCCCACTGATGCTGTAACTTTGCCAATTCATCTCACTGGGGAGGGTAAAGAATGATAATTCACCAACTAGGAAGTAGACATACAATAACTTGAATGAAGGGGAAGGATATAAAATAAGAAGGACATCAGGAGGGGGGATAAAAACAATGGATCAAGGCTAAGAAAGACACTTTATTGTTGTTAAGTGCCACTGAGTTGGTTTTTACTCATAACAACCCTGTATAGGGTATTCAGGGAATGACTAATGACCTTGAACCACCAAACTTGTGGTTCAAACCAACCTTGTAGTCCAGTACTTATGCTACAGCACCACACCAGGACTCCAAGAAAGGCACTAGGAGGAGTATACGAGTTATAGACAACAGATACAAATGCTATTATATTATATATTATACATTGAACGGTTGCATTGTTGTTGTTAGGTGCCATCAAGTCGGTACTGACCTATAGTGACCTTATGCACAGCAGAATGAAACAGTGCCCGATTCTGAGCCAACCTCACTACTGTTGCCACGCTTGAGTCCATCGATGCTGCCACTTGGCCAATCCATCTCGTTGGGGGTCTTCCTCTTTTTCTCTGGCGTTACCAAACATGATATCCTTCTCCAGCGACTGGTCTCTCCTGACAATATGGCCAAAGTATAAGAGATGAAGTTTGGCCATTTTGGCCTCCAAGGAGCACTCTAGCTGCACTTCTTCCAAAACAGATCTATTGGTTCCTTTGGCAGCCCATGGCACTTTCAATATTCTCCTCCAACACCATAATTCAAAGGCATCAATTCTTCTACAGTCTTCCTTATTCACTGTCCAGCTTTCACATGCATATGAGGTTATTGAAAACACCATGGCTTGGGTCAGGCACACCTTAGTCCTCAAGCTGACATCTTTGCTCTTCAACACTTTCAAAAGGTCTTGTGCAGCAGATTTGCCTAATGCAATATGTCGTTTGATCTCCTGATTGCTGCTTCTGTGAGTGTTAATAGTTGATCCAAGAAGAATGAAATCCTTGACAACTTCAATATTTTCTCTGTTGATAAGAATGTTGTGTATTGGTCCAGTGGTGAGGATTTTTGTTTTCTTTACATTGAGATGTAATCCATAAAGAAGGCTGTGCTCTTTGATCTTCATCAGTAAATGTTTCAAGTCCTCTTCACTTTCAGCAAGCAAGGTTGTATCATCTGCATATCACAGGTTGTTAATGAGTCTTCCTCCAATCCTGATACCACATTTTTCTTCATAGAACCCAGTTTCTCACATTATTTGCTCAGCATACAGGTTGAATAAGTATGGTGAAAGAATGCAACCTTGTCGCAGACCTTACTTAATTTAAAAACATACAGTGTTCCCATGTTCTGTTCGAACAGCTGTTTCTTGGTCCAGGTACAGATTCCTCATGAGCACAATTTAAGTGTTCCGGAATACTCATACTTCACAATGTTGTCCATAGTTTGTCATGATCCATACAATTGAAAGCCTTTGCGTAGTCAATAAAGCACACGTAAACATCTTTCTGATATTCTCTGCTTTCAGCCAACATCTATCAAACATCAGCAATGATAGCCCTCATTCCAAGGTCTCTTCTGAATTTGGCTAGAATCTCTGGAAGTTCTCTCTCAATATACGATTGTAGCCGTTTCTGTATTACCTTTAGCAAAACTTTACTAGCATAGATAGCAGAGAGATTGTCCAATGATTTCCGCGTTCCATTGGGTCACCTCTTTTTGGAATGGGTACAAATATGGATCTCTTCCAATCAGTTGGCCAGATAGTTGTCCTCCAAATTTCTTGGCAGAGATGAGTGAGTGCCTCCTGTGCCACCTCACTTTCTTGAAAGATTTCAATTTTTATTCCATCAATTCCTGGTGCCTTGTTTTTTGCCTATTCCTTCAATGCAAGTTGGACTTCTTCCTTCAGTATCATTGGCTCTTGATCATATGCTACCTCTGGAAACAGCTGTATATTAACCATTTCTTTTTGGTACAGTGACTCTGTGTATTCCTTCCATCATCTCTTGAAATCAAGAAATCAAACAAAGTATTGCATTAGGCAAATCTGCTGCACAAGATCTTTTTAAAGTGTTGAAGAGCAAAGATGTCAGCTTGAAGACCTGACTGAAGCCATGGTATTTTCAATAACCTCATATGAATGTGAAAGCTGGACAGTGAATAAGGAAGACCGTAAAAGAATTTATGCTTTTGAGTTATGGTGTTGGAGAAGACTATTGAAAGTGCCATGGGCTGCCAAAAGAACTAATAGATCTGTGTTGGAAGAAGTGAGCCAGAATGCTCCTTGGAGGCCAGGATAGTCAGACTTTGTGTCTTATACTTTGGATATATTGTCAGGAGGGACCAATCGCTGGAGAAGGATATCATGTTTTGTAGGGTGGAGAACAGAGAAAAAGGGGAAGACACCCAGCAAGAATGATTGGCAAAGTGGCAGCATCAATGGGCTCAAGCGTGGCAACGGTTTTGAGGTTAACCCAGGACCAGGCAATGTTTCATTCTGTTGTGCATAGAGTCGCTATGAGTTGGTACCTACTCAATGGCACCTAACAACAACAACAACATATTCACAAATATAGTAAAGCACACATGGACACATTTATGAAAAGTTCTTAGCCATATCAAAAACCATAAGGGAATAAGTGTTGGGCCTGGGGACTGAAGAATATAATCTTGGAAGACATCATAGTCAATTGGCCTAAAATCATTTACAAGGAATAATTCTAAATCCCAATATGGTGAGTAATGTCTAGGGTCTTAAAAGCTTTTGAGTGCCATCCTAAGATACATCTATGGGTCTCCCTGCTCGGAGCAAAGAAGAGTGAAGAAAATCAAAGATACCTGGAAATAATTAGTTAGACTAATAGACCATATGAACCTCAGCTTCCATAATCCTAAAACCAGAAGAAACAGGTGGACTGTGGCTACCACCACCAACTACTCTGAAAGAGATCATATCAGAAGGTCCTGGATAGTGTTTAAGTGCCAATGACTTGGTTCTGACTCAGAGTGACCCTGTATAGGGTTTATGAGGAGCAAGTGGTGGTTTTGAACCACCAACCCTGTGATTAGCAGTCCAATACTTGTCTTACAGCACCAAACCAGGACTACAAATCATGTTTAAATCAAAGCTGATCAATCAGAAGCAACAAACTCAGGTTTCTAATAGATGAACTATAGGAATACGGTTAGTGTGAATTAAGAAAAAGCACCACTTCCTCAAGGAACTTTCCTGTTGTCTGAGGGAACTCTAAAACTACAATGACTACGAACATATTGTACGAAGTAGGCAGTGGTTCTGACAGCACAACTCTAGAAAAGGGTGAAAAAAGACAGTAAGAGTCTGTTCCCTTGACTTCCTGGTGGTGGATGGTTGCCTGAGGCACTAGCCCACCTTTGGGTTATGACAAGAGCAAAGTCAACTGAGAAGTAGGTCAGTCAGCTACTTACTTAGTGAATAAGAAAAATGTACGCTCCTGGGTCTGTGCTCCAGCCTCCAGAAAACCCCTCAAGCCCTCTTGCTTCTCTGCAGGGTGGCCATCTGCCAACTTCCTACCCCTCACCCGTCTATAGTCCATAACACCCTCACACTGTGTCAAGAAACACAGATATCAACAAAATCCACACACCACAAATAGGGAGCAACGCCAGGCCAGGGCATGCTCATACAGAAATTCATGCAGTCTAACCTTGAGAAAGTGTGTGTGTGTACTGTCAAGTACTTCCAACTCACACCCCCCTGTAGGACAAAATAGAACTACCTCTAGGGCTTGCTGGGCTGCCATCTTAACTGGAGCAGATGGAGACAACTGGGTGAGCTCTAACCACCAACCTTTTCATGGTCAGTCAAACACTTAACATTGTGTCCAAAGGATTTCTTGAGTAAAGATGGTAAACTAGCTATCAGCATTTCCATCCAATATCCTGAGAACACATGAAAAGAATGCCATGGAAAGTGAACCCATATTTAACAGTTTACCTTTCAGAGTAGGAAGAGGGCTGTTGTGTCCGTCAAGCTGTTCCAATGAATTATTTGGATCAGGAGCCTCCACCTCACCTAGGCAAAAAAACAACAACATTACACATATCAAATGTGTTTCACTTCAATGGTGTTTCATTTTCTTCTTATAAAGGCACAAAAGTATTCAAGCAAAATCACCCAATGTTTAAAGAAAACCCATGCAGGATAGCACATTATGTTGACTTCTAAAGGGCTTTTACAGTATAGGGTTTGATATAATACCAAGAAGGATTCCAAAGTTTATACCAAGAATGGCAAGTGTGAAATGCCTTTTTTGTTGTTGTTAAGTGTTGTCGAGTCAGTTCTGACCCATAGCAACCTTGAAGAGGGTTTCCAAGGAGAAGCTGGAACTGACTTTGCAGTCCAGCACATTAACCTACCTACCACACCATGCCAGGACTTCCACCTTGCAGGATAGGCTAGTAAAATAAACTTGAGAATCCAAGTTTTAGACAAAAGAAAGTGATGGAATTTTCTCAAATCGGGCCCATGTACTCCACCTTCCAGTCTAAAAATAAATAGCTGTTGTTTGTTGCTAAGTGCCATCAAGTCAAGTCAGTTCCAACTCATAAGGTTTCCAAGGGGTGGCTGGTAGGTTTGAAACACCAACCTTGCATTTAGCAGTCCAATATTTATCCTACAGTGTCACACTAGGACTTCAAATAGATAGATGGTGGTAGTGCACACTAGGACTTCAAATAGATAGATGGTGGTAGTGGTGGTTGTGTACTGTTGAGATTCTGACTCATCTTTAAAGGAGTAGAAATTCTCATTTTTCACTTGCAGAGCAGCTGGTAGATTCAAACTGCTGAATTTGTGGCTAGCACCCAACTTGTAACCCACTATAAATAGGTAGCTAGATACATGCAAGTAGACCAATTGGAATTAAAACACTGGCTGGGAAAATAAAAGTACTTTTACAGTCAAATTCGTGTAGCAACCCTCAAGAATTAAGCCCAGGATAATAGCATGATGAATTCTGAGCTGGCAAATTTCTTTGCCAACTCATTCCCCTCTTCATACCCTGACACACAGCTGGCGAGGTAAACATTGAAATTCCACAGTTTTAAAGCACAGAAGTTTTTCTAAAAACTAATGTATACAGTAATAGAAATCCATTATTCTCCTGTCAAATTGCAAGAATATCAGCATCAGCAGGCCGCCATCTCCAAACATATCATACACCAAAGGCTAGAACAAAGTTGGTTTGTTTAGGGTTGAATGTTTAATTTCAAATATAACACGGGTGATCTGTGTTAACATTTTCTGAGTTCTAGGGGAAGAGGTGCATGCGTGACTGAATACCTACATACAGCTGTTTTGAGGCCTTCCTTGGATACTCCTGTTATATCCCAGCCCATTTCCTTTCCCTTCCCTTCTGTTTTCATACATTCAGCCTTGATTTGGTAATACTGGTCAAAGGAAGTTACAACTTGTTAAGTCAGGGGGGATGCTAACATCATATCCCCGAGTGGATATGGCTAAAACATTAAATATCAAAGACAGCTTATAATCCAATACTGCGTCATTACAGTTGTGTACTGAATGTGAGACAAATTATGAACAAAATTCCTGTGAGTAATTCAGACGCCTCTTAGGACAAGGCCTTGTTTAGAAAAAAGAAAGTTCTAAAACTGAAGTATGATGATTTTCAGATAGCACCAGGCATATAGAGTCTTCAGATCACTTGCCTACATAAACACTGAAAAGTTCACATTAACAATCCAGGCGTCTCTAAGCTAACCCTCTCCATTTCACTGCAACCTGTAACACCCTTAGGTACAGCCAACGCTCCCTTCTGGCCCACAGTGGTGACTTGTGGCTGAATGTAATGCTTGATTTTACATCCAGAAAGTTCCTTCTCCCTATCTCTTCTCGTGCAAACTCAACCCAACTATTAGAAGCCAAGTTACCACGCCATCTTCATTAAAACTGTCTTTATTCTCCAAAATTCCCCCTAAACATTACACCACTCCCCTCTTTTCCTACACATATATTTTAATCCAGTGATAGAATTCTCCCCTTCCATGCGAGACACCTACATTCAATTCCCAGCCAGTGTACTTCAAGGGCAGCCACCACCCATCTGTCAGAGACTAGTGTGTTGTTGTGATGATGAACAGGTTTCAGCAGCGCTTCTAGACTAAGATGTGCTAGGAAGAAATACCTGATAATCCACTTCCCAAAAGCAGCCAAAGAAAACCCAATGTCACAACAGTCTGATCTTGTTTTGCATGGGGTTGCCATGAGTCAGGTCAAGTTGGCAGCAGCTAACAACTAGCAACTTCCTCAACAGAATGCAAGCAGCTTGTGGACAGAAGGCACTCCACAAAGCATATGAATGGGAGAGTCTACAGGCATGGTGTGAGTGTTTCTATCACCAAAATCTGAATAGAAGCAAGAGTTGGTTGCTGTAAAACAAGGACAAGCAGAGACTCTGCAGTACAATGCCTTCAGCCTGGAGCTGAAAGGTTAGATTGGCATGTTACACACACCATCAATCAGCGATGTTTAAATGTGGAGAGACCACATGAAGTCAAACATACTTGAACTGTATATACACATCTAGAGGGGGCGTAAAATTATTAATAGCTTAGAAACTGACAAATAAATGGTATGAAACCATCAAATAAATATACATCCTCAAGAAAAACAAACTTGGTTAATCCAACTCCATTGTGGAAAAGGCTTTTCCAAGTCAGCACTCAATTTTAAAGCAGAAGCATTTTCACACCCATTCTGGTCAGAACATGGACGAGCACATTCCTTGGAAGAGATGAGACTGAGGTGATCCAAACCCTTCTACTTCATTGCAAACAGACATAATCCTTCCACACACAAACGCAGAGTCACTGCTGACAAGATAAATGCCAGTAGCCTTCTTTAATAGGTTGTGCTGGTCACACTGGGGTTGTTTTATTTCTTTTAGCCTGACGGTCAGCAGTTCAAAACTAATAGCTGTTCTGTGGGAGAAAGATGAGGCTTTCTGTTTCCGTAAAGATTTACAGCCTTGGAAACCCTATGCAGGGTCGCTATGAGTCGGAACCGACTCCACAAAACTTAACAACAACAACATTATCCTTGGTGGCACAACAGTTGAGCACATATCTGTTAACCTAAAGGTAGGCAGTTAGAACCCACCCAGTCGCTCTGTGACATAAACACCTGGTGATCTGTAAAGATTCTAGCCCAGAAAACCCAATGGCCCTCCCCGCTCCTTCCTTGCAACCATGCCATTAAGCCAGTGAAAACTGTTCATGGCAATGTCTGTATCAGTAAGGGATCGTGGGGATGGCACAGGGCTGAGCAGCATTTGATTCCACTGCATAAGGGGCTGACTCTGTGGTACCTGCAAAAAATAAATGACCAACCATCCCTCTAACAGCCATCTCTACTAAGCTAAGAACGCTAATTCACTGTAATGGCCATATAGAACTCAGAGACCATACTCCTAGTTAAGGGGTTCACTAAGAAAGTTAACAGTTCGCAACTCTGGGTCAGAAAATGCTTACGGCACAGTTGTTTCACTCAGGACAGCCATGCTTACAGACAGGCCTCTCTCTTTAGATTTTTGTGATAAGAATAATCCAAAGAAAACAAAAAACAGCAACAATAAAACCACTAAACACCTATGAAAATATTATTATTAGTTATCTGGAATTATATGCATTTATGTATTTAAGTGCTGGCCAGGTCACTCATAGTGATTCTGTATAGGGTTTTCCAAGGTCGGTGGTTCAAACCCACCAGAAACTCTTTGGGAACACCACACAGGGTTGCTATGAGTTATAATCGACTGGGCAGCACTTAAAAAACAACAGCAAATGGTGCAATTTGGCAGTTAGGTAAAGATGTAGTCATCCTTCACTTTTTGCATAATGACTTAGTCACTGGAATGTTGATCAATAAGGAATGGGTGTATTTGCAGGTAATGTGAAAGAACAGCAGTCACTGCTGCAGAAAGGAAGCTCCTTGAAGAACAATGACAGCTTTTCTAATCAGCTGCACTGCCTGTAAATAAATATCCTTTAAGACTTAGGCAATATATACATTTGCAAGTGCAGCCATAAAATTACTTAGTTCAGTAACACACCAAATTAAAAGCATTTGTGATGCCGGAAATGCCATTATTAAGAAAGAAAAAAAATTATTCATTAGAAAGGAAGCAGACTAGAGATTCCTAAATGGCCTGGGAATTAAGCCAGGATAAGTTTGACAATGCAAAATATATTTGATGTTTTAGGGTATGTTCTTATTACAACATTTCATATTGGTTCAACTGCCAACTATAAAACCAAACTGCATTTAAGATGAGTTGCTAGAACTTAATGGGTAGTAGTAGTCTTAGCAGTTCATAATATTCTATTTTCATTATTTCAAATTTTGAGGTAAATAAAGTATTAACCTCTAATTCTATATTCCTTAAAGGGCTGTTCTAACTCTACTTGAAATTGTGAAGAAAAACTCAACAACCTGAAAAGGTTTATCCTTGCTTTGACTAAACTTCTATAGCAGCAATCATATAAATCCCCAAATGAGTTTCCCCAGCATGACTCAACAAATTGCTTTTCATGAAGCTTTTTCTACCTTGTCATATACAGCCCACAGAATCCCAACAAAAGCTCCTCAGTCAGGGGCCAGTAAGTATTCTGGCTGAGGGTGAGGCCCCTCAGGCAGCTGAATTGGGACCTTTCATTGACCTTCTCTCCTTTTTAACATTCACAGATTTCCACCCCCCTCTACTCCCAGCAACCTCGGTGGGCATGAAGGACCCAGGAGGCCAGGGCACCCCCTACACCCAATAACAACAGAGTATAGGAGGCAAGATCTCATTCCTCACAGTGTCAGCAAATGCTGGAACCTCTTTTTCTGGCTACTTGTTCTTGTGTCAGAACCAGATGAAAAAGAGCAAAATGAAATACTAGGAAAATACTCCGAGCTTATTGCCTGTTTCTATTTGGTGTTAGGGAAAAGTAATTTTAATATCATTCATTCTCATCAACACAAAGAATCAATTTTTCACCTTGAGTCTCTGGAATGTTTTTAATTCTTATAAGGGGGAAAAATATCTTAAAAAATAAAATCCTTATTAGAAAAATATTAAGATGCAAGAATACCACACAGGAACAATGGAAGATATCTCCTATCTGCTTAAAGGTGAGTTTTAAAGGCCTCAATTACAAGCTTTGCATCCTTGAAACACAAGCAATACTAAAGCACTCCTCAGGATGACTAGAAAAATTAAGGTACAGTGAATGAAATCTAGATAGGACTCTTAAGGTTTCAGTTTGAACTGTGTCCCCACAACAGACAGGCCTTTGCAGATGTTATCAGCTAACCTGAGGTCATATTGGAGCTAAGTAGGTATTACTCTAAAACAAGTGACTTCTTGTAAAAGAGAAGAGACTAGGGACACCCGAGGCTACCAAAAATTAGGAGACTCATATGGCACAGTTTCTTCCTCAAAGCCAGATAAGGTTTCAACTAGGCTGAAGCCTGAGTTCATAGCCTCCAGAACCAGTCAGTTTGTGGTACACTTTATCATGTCTGTTTTGGAAACTCAAACTCAAGCCTACGTGGCCAAAAGATGCTCTCATCCTTAGAAGTGGTCGGCTTGTACTCAAGTTTAAAATCAGACTTCCAGTTTGCAGAAACATGTACTATGATCAAAAGATGGTGGTATATTACGATAGATTTTCTTTTTAAAGAGTGGCTAGTTATCTAGCTAACAGTCTTTGGTATGCAGATGATACAACCTTGCTTGCTGAAAGTGTAGAAGACTTAAACTATTTACTGATGAAGATCAAAGAGCATAACCTTCGGTATGGATTGCATCTCAATGTAAAGAAAACAAAAATCCTCACCACTGGACCAATAAACAACATTCTTATCAACAGAGAAAAGATTGAAGTTCTCAAGGACTTCATACATCTCGGATCAACCATCAACACTCACGGAAGCAGCAGTCAAGAAATCAAACGACATATTGCATTAGTAAATCTGCTGCACAAGACTTTTTTAAAGCATTGAAGAGCAAAGATATCAGCTGGAGGACTAAGATGCGCCTGACCCAAGCCATGGTATTTGCAATACCTTATAGACATGACACATGTGAAAGCTGGACAGTGAATAAGAAAGACCATAGAAGAATTGATGCTTTTGAGTTATGGTGTTGGAGGAGAATACTGAAAGTGCCATGGGCTGCCAAAAGAACAAACAGATCTGTGTTAGAAGAAGTGCAGCCAGAGTGCTCCTTGGAGGCCAGGATGGCCAAACTTTGTCTCTCACACTTTGAACATACTGTCAGGAGGGACTAGTTGCTGGAAAAGGATATAGTGTTTGGTAAGGTGGAGGGTCAGAGAAAAAGAGGAAGACCCCAGTGAGACGGATTAGCAAAGTGGCAGCATCACTGGACTCAAGCATGGCCAACAATTGTGAGGTTGGCCCAGGATCGGGCAGTGTTTTGTTCTGCTGTGCATAAGGTCACTATGAGTTGGTACCGACTCCATGGCACCTAACAACAACAACAACAGTTATTTAGTGCTGCTGTAACATAAATACCCCCAGTGACAGGCTTTAACAAACAAAATTTTATTCTCTTAGAATAAATAAAGTGCTGGCTCTTGGGGAACGCCTATCTTTGTTGGCTTTAGAGGAAGATCCTTGTCACCTTTCAGAATCTGTAGGTAAAGCATTCCTTGGAGATCTCCATACTTCTTGACATCAATCTTTCCCAGATAGAGGAACTTCACAGTGCAGGGACCCCAGGTCCAAAGGACAAACTCCACTTTGGCTTTTATTTCATGATGGTAATAGGTTCTTTCCTCTGAGCTCTGCTTGTTTGTTTAATCTTTTATAACTAAAAAGAAATCCACTCAAAATACAACCAGATTCTGTAAATTGCATCTGACCTATATGTCCTCATTAACATCATAGAAGAAAGAACTTATAAAACACAGGATAATTAGATCAGGGCTAATTACATAACATCACGGGGTTAATTACATCATATTAAGGAGCTTTGGTAGCCTAGTGGTTACAAGTCACTGCTAACCTCCAGGTCAGCAGTTGCAAACAATCATCTATTCCATGAGACAAAGATAAGACTTTCTGCTCCCATAAAGATTTACAACCTCGGAAATCCTATGGGTCAGATCCAATTCCACAACTCATCCCCACCAAGATTACATTGTATTAGATGTTTATCTTATCCTGCAGGTGGATTACTAGATCTAAACTCCTAAACCACTGAGAATGCTGGCCCAGCCAAGTTGAAACAAAACCTATCACAGGCACTTCTGTTTGAGACCATGTTAGTGACCTTCACAGATTCTCCTTGACTTTACCATGGGGTTCTATTCCTATGGTTCCATTGTAAGTCAGTTCTTAAGTAAATTGAATATATCTATCTTTTTTTCCTTTATTATGACAACATGTAAATATATGATTTAGAATTAAAAAAAAAAATAGTTGCTAGTACTAAGTACAGAGGTGAGCAGATTATACTACAATGAAATAGTCAAGAATTTGCAAATGATTACCACCTTAGAAACCCTTTCTTCTCACTCCAGTTTTTTTTATTATATGAAAGATTCCTTCCTTATTTTGAATCTACAAAAGATATTGGTTGAGATATCTTTTTCCTCTAAACTTCATTCCCTTAAGATTTCCAGCAGCATCTGTGACATCTTCCTAGGTCCCAGACTTGTACCCAAATATGCTTTTAAGATCCTTCCTCTAAGGATGGCATTCCTTTTCTCAAAATATTTATACCAACACCACTATTTCTGTTGTTCCTGGATACATCCAGTTAGCATTATCTTATTGTAATTGGACGTATTTGGAGTATAGCATTCCATACTCGAGCTAACCATTTTTGGTAGAGACACTGTTCAACATTTATACATACTACTTCCCATTTTCCTTCAGTTCCCTTCACACTACTTCTCAGACACTACTCACTTGTGGATTTCTCCCCTCTCAGTCTCTCCTGAAGTGCTCCAGAGTTCAGCCTTAAAGTCTTTCTGGCGGGGCTTGATGGCAGCTAGGGTGGAGGTGCAATGAAGTTTGCCGTCAGCCATACCACAGAATACCAGGCAAAGCATATGAAGGGCAGAGCTCCAAAAGTTGGAACCACATAGCTAGGAATATTTTTAAAGTTTGAAGGATTATAGCTAGTGGAACTTTAAGTTGAAGTAAGAAACCACGTACTTTTGAATCTGCCGGGTTCAGAGGCCTAGTGCCGACATCTTAGGTGAGACCAAATGGCAAGACCAAGTAGGGGAGCAGAAACACCACGGAAAAACGCCATGGGAAACGTGGAGCAAAGATGGACAATACACTTTGTTGGTTTGGCTTTGTTTTATTTTTTTTTTTTTTTTTTTTTGGTATCTGGTCATTGCTCCCATGCCGCCCACCGTTCACGCACCTCCATTCTGGTGATTAGAAGGGGTGCATGAGAGAGTGGCCACCCCCACCCTCACCACTAATGGGCTCTTCTGCCATGCATGCGCACAGATACTCAGCCCAAGAACAGGCCCTGCACGTGCTTTTTTTTAAATACTGAAAAGGCCAAGACAGGGCTGTAGAGTGGGAAAGAGAGTTTAAAAACAAAACAGGCCGAAAATAAAATAAAAGCCCAAGGTATCGCATAACACCAAAAGTGGTATCTTGAAATCTCTCACCCAGCTTTGAAAGCAAGAAGCTGAAGAGAGGACATTAAAGTAATATTCGTATTAAGCTACAGAATATATTTTTTTAACCTTTATCTCTCTCCTCTCCCTTTTCTGTGATTATAGACTGCAATATTCAGTCTAGTTTTGTTTTGTTTTTGTCGTTGTTGTTTCGGTTTTCTTTTGCAGGTGCTGTTTTGCTGATTTATGCTCCCCCTTCTAAGTTTGCTGGACTCTTTCTCTCCCTATATTATCCAAGAAGAGTCAGCAACTGCTGCCATATAGTTAAGCTACAATCACACTATATAAAACTCGAAAACCCAGGCAAGAACCAATACCAACTGTCATATACCAGGGAGCCAAACAACACCTGTGAAAGTGAGTCTGAGTTAAGCAATAAGAAGAGTGAAAAGGGAAGCCAACATCCTGTTCACGTCTACCTGGAAGCAATCAGAAAGCATAAAAATACCAAAACACATACTCAATTAAGTATTAAGGCCACAGACAAACACTAAAGATGCCCAAGAAGCAAAAGCAAATGACCATTATCAGCACATGTCCAGAAAAAAGATAAAATGTCTGAGACAAATGACCTAGAGGTAGACCTGGACTCCATTCTGGAAGGAGGACAGACCTTGGAAATGCCTGAGAAGGAATTCAGAAAAATGATTTATACACTTTACAATGGAGTTGAGTAAAATAAGGAAGAAGGAAGGAAAGCACAATAGGTATAATAAAATAAGATAGATATAGCATTGGAAACAATTCAAAACCTACAGAAAGAGGCCCAAACAATCAATAACAGAGTAACAGAAATAGACAATATTCTGAAAGGGTAAAGTGTAGAACAGAAGAAATGGAAGGCAGAACCAGTGCGCTGGAAGACAAATCTCTTAATACCACCGATATAGAAGAACAAACACACAAAAAAAGGATAAAAAATCTGAAGAAGGTCTAATATTCATGTTGGACAACACGAAGAGAAATAACTTGAGAATTATCGGCATTACAGAACAAGAAGAATCACACAAATCCAAAGGGGAAATAGTTGAAGAACTGCTGGAAGAAAATTTCTCTAACATCTTGAAAAGTGAAAAGATAAACATTCAAGAAGCTCAAAGAACACCAAGAAGTACAGACCCCAAAAGTAACTCACCGAGACATATCAAAATCAAGGTCTCTAAAACCAAAGATAAGGAGACACTCCTGAAAGCAGTTAGGGAAAACAGAAGTGCTATATACAAAGGCATGCAAGTCAGATTAAGCTCGGATCTCTCAGCAGAAACACAAAAAACAAGAAGGCAATGGGGAGACATATGTAAAACCCTGAAAGAATAAAATTGCCAACCAAGAATCCTTTAGCCAGCAAAGTAATCAATCAAATATGACAATGTAATCAAAACATTCCAGGATAAACAGAAGCTAAGAGATTTTGCAAAAGCCAACCCTACACTACAAAACATCCTAAAGGATGACAGACATCCTAAAGGAGAAGAGACAACAACGTGGCAGCACCTCCCAGAATTAAATCAACAGAAGAAAGAGTCCAGAAAAGAACAAAAGTATAAGAACAAACTGAGAGAACCTGGGAGGTCACTCTAAGATCAAAACAAACATAAGATCTTATATTTCAACATTCTGAACTCGTGGTTTTAAAAGATCAAATTGCTGTGGAAT